ATTGAATTTAATCGATTTTTGTCATTTCGTATCATACTTAATTTTCAAATCAAAAATCTTAATTTTGACAAGGGAGAGATGTCATTGCTGCAAGAGTTATGAAAGTTAAATCCCTTTTTAGTATGGCAAAATCAGAAAAATAAATTTTCTTTCAGCGTTACAATCTCTTTTTTAATCACTAATTTTGACTTGCGTTTATTTGTTACAGGATGTTATACAACATAAGCAATTACATAGTAGGATAAGTCCAGATTCAGAGTTGAGTGAAATTATAAATCTCCGCACAAAAAGATACCCACTTACCGTCACTTTACCATGGATCAGGAGTACTGGACGACCCAACCATGACGCTATTTGGTTAGCCGAATCTACGCATCCTCGTGTCGGAAATCCACCGCCATCTGCCCTTAATATTGAACGATCGCTCAGTATAGACGCTCTAAGTCGGGTGCTCTCCTGGCCCAAATCACAAAGCTGTGCCAGCCAGTTTATCCAATCTATCATGCCGCTCAATTCACTCCATCCAGACGTTCTGCCGACACCATTAAGACCGACTTATCAACAAGTCCCAATGCAAAAATCTGGAATTAATTCAGTGGGAAGTAGAAGTGAAAAAGCCATCAGCTCTTCTACCACGGTTTCTACTGCTCCCAGCAGTGAAGTTTCCACTTCCGGGGCCCCGAAGGCCAACCTTCAGAGCAACTTGACTCTGCGGGGAAACAAAGATTCATTGATTAGCTCTGTGAGGTCCCACAGCTTGAGGGCCCATAAAACACGGCAGGGCGTTAAAGCTAATCATACTACTCTCCCGGAGCAGAGCCTGCGATTGATGAATACTGATGTGTCGGAAAGAAAGTTGGTACCTCCAATAAAATCGTTCCCATCAATAGCAATAAGCCGAAAAGCTCAGGAAACTGCTGCGCCTGTTACCACTCTTCCCAACACTCAAAGTGACTTCCTTAATAGGCAAGGTATTATGACCTCTAGCAGCCTTGATCAGACAAATAAAATCGGGAAACCATTAAAAAGAGTCATCATAGTCTCGAACAAGCATATTGGAGAGCAGAGCGAAAAGTCTGAAGGCCCGCCCACTTTTTCTCAACTAACCAGGGTCAAAGTCTCTCAGACCGATGATAAGGGCGCCAATCTGAATGCTAATTATTTTTTAGATAATCATTCCTCCTCAACCCCAATTGGCGAGAGCCATCCCTGTAACTTTCGGGTTAAAAGTCGCACTGTAGCCAAACATTTAGTCAATTCCATAAACAGGAGCACTGGAAATTCGTTGGTTTCGACCAACCCCCGCATGGTGGGAGTTCTTTCGTCCTATGGACAAGTTAATAGACATTCGATTCCGCTACCATCCTTTTCGCTGATCCCTAAAAATGCACTTACAATATCAAACCAGGATCATAGGCGATCTGATGATTGTAATATTTATTCATATGGTTCGGATGTGAAACAAATGGAAAGCAGAAATTCAAGTAACTTAGCGTACCGTTCAACCTCGCATCGACCAAATATCAACAATAAAGAAGGAGAATGTCCTCCAGAAGTAATTGAGCAAAACGCTGACCACCTAGACTTTTTGTTTAGTAATGCTAATTACCTCGAAGACTACAAGGGCTTAATGCAATTTTAATGCTAAAAGACACAAATTGACTTGCAGCACAGCTTAATTCATACAGATATTTATATTCGAAGTAAACAACGCATTCATTTTTCCCCTGATTTGTGGCCCGAAACTCGGAATAAGAAATATCATCTAAGTTTAAGGAACAAAAGTGTTTCTTGCAATTTTAACTAAAGGTTGGTAAGAAATTTGTCTAAATTTTCCCCCCTAAACTAATACTTACTTGCAAAATTAGTTATCTTTCAGCAGACGTACTAGCATATGCTTTTAAAATTCTGGGTACCTTATTTTTACCTTGGTTTATTCATTGATACTTACGCTAAACTTCTATAATAGGTGCTCATTTTAGCACACTTCACAACAAGCTAACCTG